CACCGGAGATGGGGCCAGTATCAATGTGTGTGCCAAGAATAACCGTCTTTGCGTATGCATGACACCGCAGCTAAGCTTGGCTTCGGCCGGGCCTTAGGCGATTTTGACGTGACGCTGAGCAGTCGCCTGCGCCCATCTATTACGGGCGATGCTGCGTAGCAAATTCATGCATGCGGAATCGTAGATGGGTTTTCTGAGTGGCCCTGGGATTATTCTGCATAGGAGATGCAGCACGTCCAGTTCGATGGTCCTGCATGCTAATAATATAGTCAATTGTGTTTTGCAAGAGGCTAAATTTTGTGCTCACAGGAAATCCGGGAAAAATGCGAGTGCAAGTGGAAAAGTGCAGAAAAGTGCAAGTGCAAAAGGACATATCTCCAGGTTGACAGAAAAGCTGCAACAGATCGTGCATCTCACCGCAGAGGTCTAGTCCATTCAAGGTGACATCAGTGCGCTAACACACTCAAATGATCTCGGGTGCAGTGGCAGAGCCGGCGATCATAATGAATGGAGCAACTAGGCTACTACACGTGTCATGGCGGAGGGACATGGAGCAAATTAGCTCGCTGGAAATGATGGCACTTGTACAGTTTGCTCCCGTAAGACAGCCCTCCGACGCTCTCGGAGAACGACACCTTCGCTCCGCAGCTCAAACCGCGTCGTTTCCGGGGCTTCCCATGACATCGGAGTGTCTGGAGGTTCTGCTGCATCTGCGCACGATCCGTGCTCCGAGCGAGATTCGCAAAACGATCCGTGCTCTGCGCGAGATTCGCAAAACGATTCGTGCTCCGCGCGAGATTTGCAAAACGATCCGTGCTCCGCGCGAGATTCGCAAAACGATCCGTGCTCCGCGCGAGATTCGCGAAACACCAGCTTGGCAAAAACAATACAGGCTTCGTGCTCGTGGCTTTTCGGCACTAGAAGCTCAGAGCTCCCAGGCTGGAAGTTTCGGCCCTCAGAATGCCAGGAGGTACAGGTAAGTCAACGGCATCAGGCAAACATTGATTTTACTGTTGATATTCAACGCTTCAAGCTGCGCCCATGGCCGTGAGTGACCGCGAGCAGGCCATGGTCGTGACTTTGAGCACTAGGGTAATATATGCGAACGTAGAGCAAAGTTCGCTGCAATAACCGCGGCATGAAACTAATCAATACACTAAATGGGCAATGAAGACTAGATTTTTGGTTGGTACTGAACATTTGGCAGGTAGTAACTAAAGATAGCCAGGCGCAGATGCTACAATAGTAAATGTATTTAAAATCCAAATTAGTGTTACGCTAGCAAACAATTCAGCATAGTCCCATAGAACTGGTAAAACAAACCTAGAGCGCCATAACTTAGAACACACCCTTGTACTATATATTTTCACAATAATCCAGAACCATTGGGTGTGGTCTCACAACTGCTCAATAATAAAACGGAAAATTTTTACAAATTGTTTGGTGTGAGCTGCAGTTTTTGTCCGGATTTCCCGAAGATTGAGGAACTCGTCCTGTGGCATCGAACCCAAATATTTACACAAAACAAGTAAGCTTGACATATGCGAGACCGGCCCTGAGCTCTTAGTTTTCTGGCATAAAGGGGAAATTCAGAGTTTTTATTCTGACAGCATTATGTGAGTATTCTGGCCAAACGACGCTATTATGCAAGCATAGCCTCGCGATCCACAGGCGGAGATCAGCAATACTTTTATTTGTTGTATGCAGGCACATTCGCCAACGCTGTGCAGTTGATTGCACACATTTATAATCCCTGGCTGCCAATAAACACAACATCTGATGCCAGTACTTGAACCCCCCCCCCCCTAACGTTGATGTTCGATTTGCGCTCAAGTGTGTAGCCATCTGCACACATCGATCTACTCCTTTCTAGTGCGATTTTCCTTTGTCTGCCATCAACACGCGCGGGTCTGGTGACGCTGCGGCGCCCGCTTGGTGTAATCTGATCCTGGTCTTGACTCACGTATCGCAGAGTTACCAGAACTGGCTAGTTTTGCATCTTCCATGCCTACTGAATAGGGAGGGCTACATTCCGCTCGCAGTGGAATATTGTGGGGCAACCTAGGCTGACAACATGACTTCGCTAAAACTACCCCGGACGTTTACTGCACAGCCTTTAAGTGACTGCTTGCGTTGTTACTGGACACTGCACAAGGATGCTTTGCAGTGGTGGCGACAAATTGGCTCCACTTAAGTGCGACGACTAGTCTAGACGGCGCCGGGTCAGACCACTCCGCTCAAGTATAGCGTGTTTGAACTGTGAACACCAGGATCCACTCGAGGCCGACCCTGTTCGCAATCGCCAGCTACTGGAAACACATTTGTTGCGAGCGTTCGTTGTTCCATGCAACCATATGATGTGTGAGATATTGCCCTTGACAAGAATGAAATATAAAGGTGTCCTTCCCACGGACAGGAGGACCGCCGGCAAGGTTTGAGTGTAAGTATGAGGACATAAACATGCCGCTCCAACGAGCAGGAGAACCGCCGAGAAGATATGGGTATGAATATGAGTATATAAACATGCCGTCGCCACGAACAAGAGAATCGCCAACAAGATACGGGTATGAATATAAACATTTCAATATGCCGTCCCCACGAGTAGGCGAACCACCGGCAAGATGCGATACAATTTCTGTGGGCCCGCAGACCGGGTTCCTTCTCTGCTATCGCTGTGTCTGTGCAAATGCGCCATACAACGGCGGACGCATCTCCCCGGTGCGAATCGCTTCACTCGGCAGGCAGGCCCCGGCACACCGCGCTGCAAACGAGGCTTTTGCCCATCCGCTTGCAATTCCAGTCACGCTTGCATTCCCACCCGGGAACACATCCCGGGGTAGCAGCATGGTCGAGCAGATCCCGGCGCCGCGCAGTCGTTGACTTACGCCAACACTGCAGACGGGAAGCCGCCAGCAACAGCGAGAATGCGTGGCGCCCGGAGGGTGAGGGCCGGCAACGGGCGAAGTTCGCTGCATTGGAACTATGTTGTAGCCAATGATAGCACGCCATGTAAACTACAGCATGAGAGTACGGAATTAATTCATGGGATACGTTATGGGTATGTACGCTGCACGGCATCCGTCAATCATTGCAATGTATTTCTGAATACGACTTAGACTATGGCATACATTAAAATGTGTAATGAAATGGCATGCAGCGGGGATAATAGATACCAACGCGGCATACAATACCTTGCCGCAGTGCGTCCAATCGCGCCGGGCGACGGGGGGGGGGGGGGGAGGAACGGTAGGTCGACGGGACTAACACCAAGCCGATAAGTGCTCAGGTTTTCACGCAGCCAGATGTGATGTCGCTGGAACGGTTTCATCCGGGGTTTTTCAGGCCAGGACGTTTCCTAGATCGGGACTTTTCCGCTGCAATCTGATGAAATACGCCGAGCTACTGGATGACTCGCTGCCATGGTGGGTGTAGGACAGCGTGCTGCCGGTGTTGAACTCGGACTTTTCCGTTGCATAAGATCCAAAATCAGTGCCCGCTTCTCCTAGTTGAACCATTTTTACGATTGTCTGGGCGGGGAATCTTGCTTTCCAGTGTGAAATGTGGGACCGACGTCAGCATTGAAGTGCAGTTAGTCAATCAAAATGCCCTGGATAGTGACCCACCGTGTGCTCATTTCGCTCCAAGCGCATAGGTTACGAACAATGCGATCAGAATGCCGGTACATGTTACGCACAATAACCAAAAAGTACCATTTCCCATCCCTCCGATCTGTCACGGAAAGAAAAAGGTCACCACACTTTTCATGTTAAATCAGCAACGGCTGGTCGGGACTCCTGCCCTTCCTCATCTGGTCAGCAAGGAGGTTCGGGGGGGGGGGGGGGGATGGCATGATCCTTGCGTACGTTGGCATATTAACAAAAACGCATAAAAGTTTATCTTCGAATGGTTGAGGCAAAGCCGGGCTGCCTGCGTTTTTAACAGTGTTAACATGAACACGTAGGGGTACAACACACGTTTTTTACATATGCATACCTAAGACATTCCAGAAAGTACTGACTTAACTGCACGAAGACATAAGTACCTTATGCATTACATCATGTTTGTTCAGTTTTCAAAGCTTGTTTTGTTTCGTTAACAGAACGAGGACAATAATTACAGTCCCGTAAACACTTGCCAAATAATGCACGATGACAGGTTCCTGTTGCCGTGAAGCGTTCAATCATTCTCAGTTTTACAAAACGAAATGTACACATTACAAAGTGTTGAGGAAGATGCTCACCTACCGGAGCGCTGGTGCTCCAGACAAAACTTATGCAATGCATTGATTTTTGAAGTTATTCATGCAGACGACATTAACAGAAAAATCAAGTCTGCTTGTATTCCAAAGTATGCATATATAACTAGAATATGAGTTCCAATTAGCATCGTCCCTTGGCTTACTCTAAAACGTGATCTAAGTAATCCTGCGATCGAGTTAGCTCTGAAACTTGATCCTTTTTCATTGCGAAGGATCGAACATTTTTACGTAAGTTGTAAAGTGCATTTGCAATGAACACTATGCACGTAGATAAAACAGTACTAATAGCCTTAGCCCTCGTAAAATAACCACGAGAACGGAAAGACAGAAATTAATTCCACCTTCTTCCATTCCCCTGGCTATTTTGCAAGGAGCGAGGCCAATAGCAATCTCCGATCAAATATTTTCGTTTTACCTTGGACCATCTCCACTGTCAGTGTCACTATTCATATAATATGCGGAACATTCTCGCAAATCTGAGCCACTGAGCACCCAAAGGACCAAAAGCCTTTTCCCACAGTCTGAGCAATGATTAAAGTCGAGCACATGGTCTAGTAGAATTGGGATGCGTCTCGCTACTTATCCATTTCGCCAAAAAGGCGAGAGGCGTGTAATTTCTGCGATAAGACCTGTGCTTCCATACCGGACGCTGCCACATTGAGGCCAGTGAGGATGTCCTCAGTGACTGCTCCCACCTCATTAAACGCCTCGCCGCTTAGATAAGCTATACCCATCGCCACCGCTAATGCGCTTTAACCATCAACAGATCGCCAAGCCCCCAGCCCGTGTTACCAGGCCGCGCCAGGTCAAAGGCCCACACGGCGCCCGCTGGCGAGCGGGAAGCCCCAGCGCGCGCGGCCGGCGCCACAGACGGGCGTCTCACCGAACGGCGGCAGGATGACCTGTCCGACCACGTGCAGCACGCCGTCGCGGGCCACCAGCTCGCCGCCGCTGACGTCGACGGTGACGGCGGCGTAGCGCTGCGCGCGCGGCGCCAGCGTCAGCCGGCCGTCGCGCCGGCCGAACACGAAGACGGCGTCGTGGCGCGCGTTCAGCCCGGCCCCGGGCAGACCGGCGCGGCACTGCAGCCCGCTCAGCACGTGCACGCGCAGGATCTCTGCCGGGAGAGAACATTGCTGGACGGTGATGACGATCTCGGGCCGACGGGGCACACAGGAGCGGTGTTCGGACGCGGGATGGGCCGGCCTGTGCGTTGATGAACGCTCTGTGAGGGTTGCCGGTAGTGTGGTGGTTAACACGTCTGCGTTAACCACTGCGTGTCTGGGAAACCAGAGGTACGGGGGTTCGATTCCCCGCGGTGCCCGCCCTTCATGCCGGGGTGAGAGGCAGGCGACGCCATATGGCCTCAGCAGCCGAGTGCGTCGTAAAGCCCCAATCACACACACACACACACACACACTCACACACGAACGTTCCGTGACTCAGTTGGCTGGGGCGCCTGCCTTCCGATCCACCCACCCTTGCAGGGGTGGGCTCGAGTTAGGCGCTTGCTGTTTGCCACTGATTGCGATGGTGCGCAACCAGTGACAGCGGCCGCGCCAAAGGTCAGATGACGTCAGGGGGGTGGACGGCAGGGCAGAGCATTACGGCAATTTAAGCTTTTGTCGGAGAATAATGCCGTTGATCCGAAATGTCACGACCAGATGGTGGGGCCAGGACTCACGTAACGAGCCCTGCTTAGCGTGAACACTGATCCCATAAATCCACCCAATCGAATGGTTCAGTTAGTTAGTTAGCTTACTGATTTAGTACAGAGTTTTGAGGCCCGTCAACTGCATTGGTTGGTTGCGCCGCGTAGCTTATTGACATGAGTTTGCGCTTGAAATGATTCAAACATAATATTTAACATTATATTTATCATTAATGATTAATGTTTATACATAAACATATATATATATATATATATATATATATATATATATATATATATATATATAGCGAGTAGTAAGAACTTGGTGGCAATGACAGCAACCAACGGTTCCATTCAAGTATTTTCAACGTTTCCATAGGTGGCATCCCATTATCAGGACGAGAACAATGGTAAAAGTTCAACCAAGTTGCAATTAAATATCAGAACATTCAACCGATATCGCTCGACATAACAACGGCCACAGTCATACAAATGAACACGACCTTTCTGCGCATAAACAGAACAGATTGAAAATGCAAAAAATCACGTGATGAAAGCTCCTTTTGACCCCATATGAAAAAGGCTACCTTATAATTTGCAAAGGATATCTAGACCCATGATATTAAATGATGACTTTTGTTGGTAAATATGAAATGTATTCTAAAATCCCAAGATCGAGAGACTTGCTTGAACGTCCTAATATGGAGAAGTTTTACATGCTAAAGTGTCACACGTAAATGAATGGTGTTGGATGGGCGGAGGGACTGGGATAGCCAGAATGTTGCTTGCACGGTGAGACATTCGAAAATGCTGCTACACTCTGCAATACAAATTACGAAGGTTTGAACTCGCATAAGATACTCCACACGAAGCGCAACAATATTTATAAATGAACGCAGAGGCTGAGCATTTGGGAACCTTGTCTTTAACTTAAGGAAGGATGCGACAGTAAAAGAGCTTTCTAATGTGATTCTAGTGGACAGGAAAGGGCAAAATCCTTGTAGCAAGTCTACAAGCTCATTTTTTTTCAGTCGCATCGACTGTTTTCCAAAATATGGCAGCACCAAATATTTATTTAGCCTTTGGACCTCGTGATTGGTGGGGCTTGACATATTTTGCATCCAAGAAGCTCTTTACTAAACTAGCAGTGGTTGAAAGTGGAAGCCGTTTCTCTCAAAGAATGATATGAGCCGGCCGAATCGAGATCAATCATCACCAAGTCAAGTCAAGGTACAGATAAATATTTGGTGTTGCCATATTTCGGATAACAGTCAATGCCACTGAGAAATGAGCTTGCAAATCTGCTATAATAATCTGATTTTGAAGCTTTAATCTGAACGATATTTTTTCAACTTATTTCTTAGATGTTTTAAATTCATTTATCATATATAAAATCTGTAAATACATTATAATAGATTTTGCCCTTTTCTGTCCCCTAGAATCACTTTAGTTCCTCTTTTACAGTTGTATCTTTCTTTAAGTTAAAGACAAGCTTCCCAAATGCTCAGCCTCTGCAGTCACTTATAAATACTGTTGCGTTTCGTGTGGAGCATCTTACGTGGATTTAACCCTTCGTAATTTGCGTTGAAGAGTGCAGCAAAATCCGGGAAGGCCTGACCGCACAAGCAACATTCTGGCTGTGCCAGACTCTTCGCCTATCTGAGACCTTCATTTGAGTGTGACACTCGCTCTAACATTGAAAATTTTCCATGTTAGGACGTGACAGTGATTCTCTCGGTTTGATGATTTTGAAGACACTTGACATTTACCAACGAAAGCTGCTGTTGAATATCATGGGGTCTGCATGTCCTTTGCAGATTATAAGATAGTCTTTGTCATACGGAGTGAAAAGGATGCTTCGTCGCGTGATTTTGTTGTTGTATTTTTCAATCTGTCCTGTTTATGCGCAGAAAGGTCGTGTTCATTTGTGTAACTGTGGCCGCTATTATGCCGAGCGATGTCTGTTGACTGTTCGAATATCTGAATGTAGCTTGATTGAACTTGTACCTTTGCACTCGTTCTGATGGTGATGCGGAATGTATCGAAACGTTAAAGCTACATAAAAGGTACTGTTGACTGCTGTCCTTGCCATCAAGTTTTTACTACCTTTTACCGTCCGAGCATGTTCCATATGTGAGATCATGGATACATATATATATATATATATATATATATATATATATATATATATATATATACATATATATAAACACGGAGATTATGAATATGTATATATATACATGTAGATATACACACATATAAACATATATACAGACATGCATATATGCATATGTATATATATATATATATATATATATATATATATATATATAGACAAAATACCTCCTTTTAAATATGTTTCACTAAAGACCAAAAAGTTTTGGGCTGAAGCACACTTTATGTTGTTTCGTTCGATGTTTTCTGTGAGTTTTTTGTGTTTCGTTGAAGTCCAAAAATTAAATCTTTAAATTCAGTGACATAAACGGTCGTATATTTGTCCCGTATTCATAAAAAACGTTGCGTTTCAGTTTCATCCTTAAACCAACCAAAGCAGATTTGTTATGTCTTACACGATTAAAAGAACACTTCATACATATTTGATGATTCAAATGAAAACACAATGTATCTCATGAAACAAGTGTAACGGGTCACACAAATCGGGGTTTTTTATCTCTCCCAAATGTGCGAGTGGAACGAAGGATATAAGCTGTTTGTTGAGTGCTGTGGCATGTTGGCGGTTGTATAGGGCTTCTAATGGCATCAGTCGTGTTTTGGTGTGTTGGGTTTTGGTGATTGTTGTGTTCTCGGTGAATTACCTGGCGTCCGTATTGTTTGGTGGCACTGTGTCATGTGCTGTTTTGGAGCTCGTCTCGAAGACGGATAGTATGTCGCTTTGGAAGAAAAGTAGTTGTCACGCCAATGTAGTTTATCCCACGAAGCCTGCAATTGTCGTACGAACAGGAGAATTGATGAACCACACTGTGGCCTTGAAAATGTCCTTGGCCGTCACCTCTTTTTCTGCCGAAAGGTTGCTTGTTTTCCTGTTCTTATAAATGATGGTGAGTTGAAGGTGAACTATCGCACTGGTGCACGCTACGCTGTCTTGAAAAGTTCCCTGAATAATGCGCTCGTGCACTTTGCGAGATAATGACATGTGATTGCGACAGTAGAATTGAATAATGTTTTTGGCCGTTTTGTCTTAGCTTTAGTTTTTGGTTTTCGTTCTACATGCCTTTCAATTTGATCATCGCTGTTTACCTTGGAAACCCCGTTCTTGGACGCAATCTGCATTAATGTAACGAACTCTGCGTACAAACATTCCCGACAGGAACAGTTGTTAGTAGTTCTCCCTTTGAAGGCACTGATCACGAGGTCCTTTTTTATCTAAACTGGTATTTGAAAGCCCTTTGTACCGAGACGACTATCACCCGAAATGTAGCCAGGAACACCCGCTAAAGACCTACGGGCTTATCAAGCCCGCATGCTGCGGGCCAGCATCAGCCGCTCCAGTCCGGAATGATCTTATTGGCGAGATGGGAGAGGGCCTGACCGGGCGTCAGTCGAACATGGAGTGAAATGTACCGCACGGAGGAATGCGACGCATGGCCAGGTCGACGCCATACCCCAGGTCACGTGCGTGTAAGTGCATGGTAATATTCGTCCTTGCTGCGAGTGTAGCACGCGAAAGTGATGCAGAGACACGCGTCATCCGAAATCAAATAACGTGCTTGGCGACTCTCGCCAGGGGCTGCCCCTGCTGGTATCCAAAAATATCCCGACCACCGCACGGTCCACTAAGTCAGCACGTGCTGGCAACGGCGCACTGACTGCAAAGGATACGGAAATATCTGACGCCTGAAAGCATTTCGGAGTAGTCGGATGTACATTTCCCTTGTTAAATTACAACTGTAGTGGATGCTTCATGAGACGTCAAACCGAAAATGGCTGAACTTACATATAACAAGAGGGACGGGCTAAACGAAGATATCAGCCGTTTTGATGTATAGGATGCAATTGTCAAACGTTTCAGGACAGTGCCCAGTCATAAGTGAACAGGGCTTGAGGTGTTCTGTAGCAACCTGCGTTTTAACCCCACACACGACTCGGGTGATCACAGCCTGCCAGCTCAACCGTCCGCGCTTCGTTCCGCCCTTTCCACGATGCTGTACATCGGAGGATAAATAGCTGAGATGGAAGCGTGCTTGATTTCCACGCGTGAGGCCCGGCCTCCGTTCCGGCACGGCACCATGACCTCCGGGCGCTTATATAACCCTTGTGATCGCTGGCGCTCTACTATGGGTGACGCGACCACGTCCGCACCGTGCAGCCCTCTCACATGAAGGCGCCGTGTGTCGAGTGTCAGAAAGTCTTGACTGAATGATGGCGCTGATTTTCTTGGGAAGTGCACTATGGCTTGATAACAGGCGCGTTATTGGCTTATGCTCAGTGCGGGTCATACGGGTCAAGGAGACCTTTCGGTTTGGCGGCCTGTGTTTGAGCACCTCTCATCACAGTGTCGCACATCGTGTATTAAGATGTGGTAGTCCGCGTGGTTGATTGGTTGAGTTTCTCTTTAATGGCAGGTTCGGCACCGATTTGGAACATGTTCTGTTTTCCATAGGCCTGACGTCTTTAAAGCATAAATTTCGTTTAACGTTCACTCGTGTCAGGGAGCGCGACTTTAAAGTGTGGGGAATTATCACGATACATGGCCACCAATGCTCCTTTGATTTCGCCGCTTCAAAAGTACTGGTAAACTGTACTGGTAAATTGTACTGGTAAATTGCAGGTCGATTTTTCAGTATGCCAGCTCATATTGCCACAAATACTAGGAACACTGGGCTCTTCCGCTTCTATCGGGTGTAATGAATGTTGCATGCTTATCTAGCTGGGGCACACATAAAACGTTTGGACATTTGGCATTCCCTCTCCAGTGAAAATCTAAAAGCGTGCAAACGGTGTTGTGTCGTTGATTGCACCTGTCCTGAACGCTGTGTCTAAACGACACAGATGTGTGACCCCAAGGAAGCCAGTTGCCAGACCCCGTCATGTCACAAGTTCAATCAAGCTTAAAGATGTCGACGTGTTTAAACCACCCGTCCTTATTTTTGCGATCGCTGGTCTTATCGCTTGATCACATGCATAGCCGGCCGCGTAAATTCCGCCCACGATGCATTAACTGCGTAATGGCGGCACCGTCCACACGCAGGACAGTTTGAAAACCACCGACAGGGCCCGACAGTTTGAAAACCACCGACAGGGCCGGACTGAAGCTCGGCTAAAGCGCCGCGGTGCGGACAGCCAGCACCCGGAGCAGACGGCCGGCCGTCAAAAGGTCAGCCCAGCGGCGCAGGTCATTGGCGTTGGTGGACGAGACGGTGGCTCCGGACAAGGTCGGGCTTGGAGGCCCTCAGACAACCTGGTTAGCTCTGATGTGCAACGGCAGGAATTTTAAGGAAATGGAGTGGATTCACGGAGGGGGCGAAAAGCTGTGGCTAGTAAGCCACCGCACGGAGATGGTCGCATGCTAGCCAGAGACACAAGTGCATGTGCTAAAAATTAGTTTCACACAGAAACGAAGAATTGTAAATTCATTGGACATTCAGCTGTGTATCATCAAACCAGGACGTGAACCTGGGGCGTTCAAATCGCGTGGTGTTTGCCAGTTAGCGCGAGTAGCGTGCATTTAACCCAGCTATCCGATTTTTTAGCAACCACGGCCACATCACACATAACTTTGGAAACACGAATGGCAGCGCGTGACCCTGCTTGAATGCATTGCCTTACATATGATGCCAGCATGAAAAGGCTTAAACCCCTGGTTTTTCAGCATTAAATTCATATGCAGAAAGTAATCGAACTTTTGCATGCCGGGAAGCACTGGTTAAGCGATCATGTTAGGCGCGTGTTGGAAAATGTTATGGGCAGACGCATGATAAACGCAGCTGATTGCTGCGCATCTTCGTTTAGCGAGTACTTTCTGCTATGCTCAAGCTCGGGTATTCTCGGCAGAAGAATTCATCATTATTATTGTATTGCAGCCTGCAGCCAAAGGAAGAACAGCACACATGCTTCAGGCAGGCCACCAGGCACCTTGCATTAGGCGAGTACCTGGTGGTTGTTCCACTCACCTCTCGTCCGCTGCAGGCTTTTGGGCAGCTTGATGCGGCCGAACGCCTCGTTCGTGGGAGCAAACACCGTCATCGCCGTCCAGTTCGCAATCTCTGCGCTCAGACCCGTCTGATCCAATACTGGAAGACATGGAATGCAGTCACAAATAGCTCAGACCTGCTTTTTCTTTTCTTCAAAGAAAAACACGCGGGGTGCACGTGGGACGGGTCGGTGGACCGGTGTTGAAAGAGGATAAACAAACACCTGAAAGAAAGCACAAAGCTGGTACGTAACACTGATAACGTACGTCTCGAAACGCAGCCACCAAGGTACGCCTGGCGAGCGATTAATGGCGGCTGACGCTGGCGCGGAGCGAATTCTACTGGGATCAGAAGAATCGCATATGCATATAGTGGCATAACTGAAAAAACGCGACACAAAGATATGTGAGCATGGAAAACTACAACGTTCAACTTAGTTCTGTGAGAAGATGACGCGGCAGAAAATGCGAGGTATTCAGGCCCATATGCTACCATGCCAGTTCTCTAAAAACAACTCAAACCATATCCCACCGGTCAGCAAGCAGCATTGCTGTAACGTGTCGCTGTTACCCTTCTGACGCAACGCTTATGCATCAAGGTAGCCTCCCCTTCACCAGTTACCTCCACTCTCTGCGAACATCTAGCCTCCTTTCCTGAGTCCATTTGCCCCCTACGAAGCCTATAATTGCGTTCTAAATTCTTTCATGTCTCAGCCAAACTCAGCATGCCCTTTTCATCACATACTAAAGACTTGACTGCGATACCAGCGTATCATGGATCGCTGTGTTTCCATGCAATTTCTTAGAAAGGTGCTCTGGAGGCTTTGTCACACGGTTCGTTCTCAGCAGCTTCAGCTCTGGTCGCCATGAAAGCCCTAGCTATGTCACTTTTACTTAGCCACCATTCCACAGACGTCGGAAATTCGTTCATGTGAAAAAAGAATGACCTTGACAGACTAAGTTTCGGAGAGGGTTTATAATTTATGTAGGATACGTAAGACTATCTTACTACCTGTTCATCGGCGAAAAGGTCACAAGATCCATACGCACCATTCGACCTCTCAAACGCGCACTTGACAACACCTGTCCATTCAACTGTGGAAGGTAACGAACACCCAGTCTCCAACCCTTTCACAACAAACACAGGTGCAAAAGAGTGAAAAACGTACGTGCAGGATCCCACTCGGGGTCTCTTCGGTTTAAATGCACAAGGGTTTGAAATCTAGCGCACGTGGCGAGTACCATAAGCCAAACCTGCCCTGCACCTACGCTAGCCAAATACTGAGGTATAAAGCCCCCACCATCCACTGACTTCAGACGAGCACTGCTGACACACTTGACATTAAAGAGAGTTTTCCACATTTGCATGGAGTTTTGAATTGAAATAGTGGTCTTGAGCACGTTCCTAAGCAGTTCACAGCCCCGCCCTTTTTGAGATCTAAACCGCTCTCTTTTCTGAGCTGCAGGCCCATGCAAAGGGGAAAGTTTTCTGGGAGAGTATTTCAAAGTCGCCTCGACATTAATGATCCCATAATGACGTCATTCATATCTGTCAGTCGATGTCCCACGCGGCAATTCAAGCCGAGGAAGATATAATGATCGAGGCGTTCATATATGGCGTTCGTGGGCACGATTTCAAAATATAACGGCCATCAATTGCCTCCCAATCACTGCTGTGTGAAATGCAATGACGTAATCAAACAATGACGTATCGAAGAACATATTTACTAAACAGAGAGACTGTCTTGTCTAAGGGAATCTTTTCCACTTAGGAGTATGCCAGTGGGTATATATAGGTATATAGGTATAGCCGTAAACGGTATGTATAAAAAGGCATGGGTAAAATGTAAAGGTAAGTGAGCTTATTTCATCCCGACTGATGCTTGGTTCAATATCTCTAAATGTGAAACATTCCCACTAGCCTGTTCTGCTCCGGTGAACTAACGATACGCTATTAATGGAACACAAATTGCAACCGCTCATTCTTTCCACCTGCAGTCTCAGGCATCCTCCATAATTAACAACAACCCAATTACATGAAGGCGCTCGGCAATCTGTTGCCTCTGCAGATTGGCGGAAAGATGCTGAACTCGTTATTTAGTGGCACTTGGAGTGAGCACCAGGACGGGTGCATTGACATGCGAGGTCCCGGGGCGACCGACTGACACGGAAAGTCTAGCTGTCAACTGGCCAGCGAGGACCAACACAGACCTGGGGCGGTAGCTCGACATCATGTGCGGGGCGTCAAACTCGACGGTCTCCTCTGGGGAAAGAGCAGGGACACCATTATCGGCTAGCTGGAGGGAGCAAGTCGGGCGGTGAGCTCAGGCAGCGAGCTTCGCTTAGCAGTACCCTGGACCTAAAGGGATCCAAGAACGATTCGAAATAAATTTATGCTCACAAATAGTTTCAGTGTCGGTTCAGGCTCTCCGCGACCGCTTCGATGCTCTGCGGCAGTGCCAGCCAAATCCTCGCTCGAAGTACCGCCAGTGGGCTCGGTAAAATGTAAGTCTAGGCAGCCAATGCTCCAATAGCTTTTTCAGGAAAGCGTATGTTCTAATTTGTTTTCCGTTTGACTGTGTGTGTGTGCGTGTGTGTGTTTTAACTTGACTTTTGCTCCCGTGCTGGTCCGCTAAATTCATGTTACCTTCATATTCTGTAGTGTGCTACATGTCAATAAATGAATAGCGAGATAACTGAGAATCGGTGCACCACTCCCTTTTTACCTCTTTGCTACCCCTTGCCTTGCATTTCCTCTGTTATTCTTTTCTACGTGTCTTGTTTTTATCCACTGACTTCCGAGCGTCATTCTGAGTCGTCTCTCACCCTTAGTCTCTCACTGCGAACCATCCAATGGATGCACACCGTTGCTCAGGCATGAGCTAAACGCCTTACATCACCGACTTCTTCAGCCGCTCGTCTAAGTGGTGCTTCTGACCTTTCGTGTGGCTGACCTTTTGCAGCTAGTGCCGCCGGTACACGGGCTCTCAGACTTCCCAGAGTTTTGTGCTGCGTCTGGCCGCATTGAGCGAGGTCTGACAGGCGACGCGTTTGATGAGTCATGTACCACTCAGCCCGCACCGAGCTAGTGACCAAGCTACACATCGTGGTGTTAGAACCATGCATATCCAAAACAGGTTCAAGGTACGAAGCATGCGGCCTTGATTTGACACACAGTGGCGGATTGTCAGCGCGGGTTAGTCCGTCCATTTTCCCCGCTGAAAAGCGAAGACACATCTAGATGTTCAGTTGATGAGGCTCAGCTTAAGGTACTTCAGTTTTCAGATAACAATCAGCTTCTCGCGCGTTTGCTCCATTGTTCGAATTAAACGCTTCGTTGCTTTCGGTAGATCATAAATTACTTTGCCTATAGTCGTTTAGTTTAGTTTAAGCTGGCTAAGGCTTCGTAAGTTCCTCAGTGCTATTGCAAGAAATACTATGCACCTAGATAAGGCAGTAGTAATAGCCTTATTCCTCGCAGAAAGACCAGGAGAATGGAGATGAAGATGCGCTGATATTTCGGTGTCATGCCTTTATCTGAACAAATGGCATAAATTGTTTTATTATCTAAGTATTTTATCGAAACGAATTACATTTTTACTACCCTTTTGATAAAGGTATGTTGCCGAAATACCAACACAACTAGATCTCCTTTCTCTCAATCATTTTCCGAGGAATAAGGCTGTTACTACTGGCTTATCTACAGCTAACGTTTCAAGGACATTCGTTCCCCATTGTCAAAGCAATGTTAGATAGCCGGACGGAAAAATTTCGAATACGAAAAAAAACGACGCATGCTCTACGAAAATCAAAGGTGGACCATCAGTTAACAGATTATACATCCGACCATGAGGTCAAATGACAAACACATACAAACACACACACGTCACTTTTCCAGCCTGTTTGTCACCATCGCAAGTTCGAGTTATCGAATTGACCTGCTGTCATTGGCTGACTGAACAGGTCCAAAGCGATGCACGACCTAAGCTGTTTGTTTAACGCGCGCCCAGTAGCCAGTTGGATACCCTCCGCTTGGGTGGGGTCAGTTTGACCTCCCGAGATCTCAGAAACTATGAGAGATACAGACTCCAAATTCGCAGAGTGTATTGGCCTGAACGTGAACTCATTTAGGTCAAACTTTGAAGTCAATAGGTTGTGATGCTGTGATGTTGTGATGCTGATGCTAGGTCAAACAAGGTCAAACTCCAGTTTGGTCTCCAAAGTGCTTCAAGAACCTAGATACCTGTTCTAAGGGAAAGGTCACATGCTCATTGAAGGCCAGCAACCTTGTTTGAAGGCCATGGTGACCAAAATCATGCAATACTGCTATGAATTTTACATTTGAATAAGCGACAAAGGTTACGATAGGCAGCATGTTCCCAACAAAATGCTGACCTGGGTCATTTTAGGTCAGTGGCCTATTCCGACCTTTAGGAAGTCCGTGGATGATGTATAATGTGGCTCCTCTTATCAATCAATCCGAAATGAGCACCAGAAACTATCTCATACGGCAAACCCTACATTAATAAAACAGGTTGATTTTAACATTGGGCTTATCTTTATACCTGATCCTAGGCCAATGGAATTTGTTTCTTCAATTTGCGTTGCCTAAGAACGTCGCTCAGATATGTATGGCTTTGTCTAACACGCCGTTGTTGCATCAGGTTAAACGATTCCCCATAAATCAACTTCGCTGAATCTATGGCCTGAACTTGCCTGCCGTAGGTCAGCGACCTTACGAGGTAAATCTAAGTTTTTGATAGCCAAACGATCCACTATTCAATCGCTCACAGCTATGCAAAATTTGGCGCAGCTAAGCCAAGTCATTGGGAAACCATTCCGGAAAAAACCTTCGGAGTCAGTTTGATTCTCACCCGAGCGTGTGTTAAGCCAGACATTCTTTCTCTGGTGATGATGGCTTCGAGAATTTATAAATGGCGTTTGTTGCGGCATGGTTTAAGATTCAGTGTGTTTTCAGTTAGGTCAGAGCATAGGAGTTTTGTGTTGTGGGTTTTGCGCAGATGTTGGTCTGGCCAGGTACATTATCATGCGTCATGATGGAGATGTGGTCATTCCAATATCGATCGATTTGCGGAACCGGCAAGTTCCGTAGGGGCATTAAAATTAATTAGTTATAATGGTGCGCTTTATTTAGTTTTAGTCTGCGGTTATTAATGAGCAAATGCATGAACCGTTCAAGTTTGTGGTGTGTGCTGAACGAGCTGGAGCAATATTTTAGAGTGCGTCGTAGAGACGAACGCATGACGGCCATGCGAAACGCTCTGGATATTCGCT